CTTAACACAGAATAGTTGTAGAGTGTAGACTACACATAACTTCTGCATGCACCAGGAAACCAGAAAATTCTTTTGATTCACTTTATTGGGGTGTGTGGTAGTCTGGGACAGAACCTACCATGTCTCTGAGATACAATTGTATCCCTCAGTTGGAAAGTCTGTTGGGACTTGAAATGGTAAAGCTGGTCGTAAGTGTCCTGGTTTTGGATGACTAGGAATAGAAAATTGATTTAAAAGACTAAGAATTCAGCATATTTATGGAGTAAATTATCTTTTTGTTTTAAAATGTATATTTCACATTTATACACTTGTAAAAAAAATTGGGATGTCTCTTTCCCTTGCTAAAGTAATTAACGTGATTTAAGAAAATGTCTCACTATAACCAACTTATATCTTTTGTTAATTAGAAGAGTTTGTAGTAAATATTGATTATGTTTTTGTTGGGTGACCATCTGATACAGATTGTCAAAGACGTTCCCTAAATTTGCATTAACACCTGTCAAGTGATTCATGGGCATATCATGAGACTCCAAGCACCTTGCCTCATTTATTTTAGGTAAATATAGAATCAACTCGTATTTTTAACTGTACTGCAAAATTAATTTTAAAATGTTAAAAGCACACTTTCAAAATATACTTGTAAGAATTTTTTTTATTAAACTGAGCCTTCCTTAAGGTGGTGAGTGGGCGCTAAGGACCAGAAGGTATCCCAGAGGAGCTGGGCTGCTGCACGCAGTGACTGCAGGCGAGTCCTGTTCCCGGCTGGCCCCTGTGTTCCTCAGCTGGATTTTCTGTTTAGACAAACTCCTGGTCCAAGTGGTCAAGAGAAGAAAAGACTACACAAGGAAACCAGGTTGAATGCAAAGGGCATGATAACTCCAAAAATTAGAGATGAAAATATTAGAGTATTCCTGTTAGAAAATAGATGCAATGCCCTTCAGACTTCAGGGAGGGAAGAAGTTATGAGATTGTTTGATGATAGTGGTGGTACTTGAGTTAATCAAACATCTGGAAGGAAGTTGGAAGACAACTTATCAGCTAGGTGAAGGTGTTTGTATACTCGGAAACCAACAAAAAATTTTACCAAAAATTTATGGAGAACTTCAAACCAGGGAAAGCACAAACAAAAGCCATGGCAGGAATTTTGCCGAAATGAGTCGCATATGGCCAGTTAACATTATATGAAGGGATATGTGAATCAAGACCAATCGGAAACACTATTTTTTGTATATAATTACTTGATAAAACTTGTTCCAGTGTTGAGCAGGACCCCTGTGCATACCTCTGTTGAGTGAGAATTGGGGCAGCCCTTGGAGATGAGTTTCTCACTACCTCTTAAGGGTGAGATGCTTTCTTTTATACCTTTGACCCAGCAGATCCACTCCTGGGTGAATAGCCAAGACAGATCCTTCAGGTTTGGTGACACAAAATGGAGAGGATAGCATACTGAATGTCCATGAGGTCCCCCCACTTTGTTATTAACAATATGTCAGAATTCATGTTTCCTTTCTCTTCCTAATCCCTTTTTTTTTGATGTGACAGAGCCCAGAAATCACAAACTTTCTTTCACCCATGCGTATTTCAGTAAAAAAGAAAAATGGACTAAATGTATATCACAATTTACAAATTTATGATTCCCTATAATCATCTAATGTCCTGACCACGTTCACTTTCCCCTCATTGTCTCAAAATGTCTTTTTACAGTTGGTTTTTTCAAAATAGCAGTCCAGCAGGTCCAAACATTACATTTGGTTGCTGTATCTTCTAAGTCTCTTAATTTAGAATAATTCCTCTTCTGTTTTTTCATTTTATGATGCCCTTTGTAACCATTTGTTTGTAAAGAAACTTAGACTTTTGTCTATTGTAATCTTCCAGATGCTGGACTTGGTTGGTTTTATGTTGGTGGTTTTGATGGATGTATTCTCTGCCACTTGTGCTCCCTGTAGTCTGGTGACTAGACCTGTGGTGTGGAGCGGATTTAAGGTTCAGCGTTAGGGCAGGACTACCACAGAGGTGAGGCTCTCTCAGAAGGTGCCTGGTATCTGGCTATTGTGGACACAGGTGATTTTTCCGCTCCTTCTTTGAGCAGACTCCCATCCACCTCTCACCTAGCGCTCCGCATCCATCAAGGAAGGCTGCCCAGACTCAGTGTTTCCATTGTAGGTTACACAGTGGTGGTCATCTCATTCTGTTATACCTTTGTTGTTACTGGCTGCACGGGCTTTTCTCTAGTGGAAGTGAGTGGAGGCTACTCTCTAGTTACGGTGCGCAGGCTTCTCATTGTGCTGTCTTCTCTCATTGTGGAGCACGAGCTCCAGGTGTAGGATATGGTAGGATCAGTGAGAAGAGCAGGAAATCGATGAAAGATGGAGCTGCTCTGTAAAGGGAGAGGATGAACTACCGTCTACTAACGGTAGTGCGTGCCGCCCAGGCTTGCACGCACACACAGCGCGAACATACTCCCACCACACATTCACATCACACACACACAAGGGAAAACGTGCACACAGAAGTGCTCACACACTGTGTACTCCACACACACATACACACCACACACATGCTCATAGGACGTACTCACTCACATGTACACGTGCACACCACATGCCTCACGCACAAGCCTGGGCCCCTCCCCTGGGTACACGGACAGTGGCATCTACAGGTAGGTGGGGAGCTGTCACACCTGTGTCCCACTGAACACCCAGGAGAGGTGGCCTTTGCCTTAGAGCATGAGAGGCAGGTGTGAATGAGTGGAGGCTGGATGTTCCAGGGTGGAAGCAGCTCTTTTCTGGCTCCAGGAACCTGGTGAGTGCTGGCCAGCACCTGCCTCCACACAGTGGGGAATCCACCCCCACCCCCCCAGAACCTGGAAAGGGGCTTGAGAGTGCCCCCTGCTGAATTATAACCTGTTTTCCTATATGGGCTCCAGTCTCCTGCACAAGAGCCTTTATTTGGGGTCTGTGACCCCTTTTACCCTCCGCTTCTCCCACTGGCCACTGGCTGTTCTAATTCCCACGCTGCCACCCCCACGGTGCAGGGGCTTGGAGGGAGGGGGGAGGCGGGTCTGAGTTCCTTTCCCACCTGTGCAGGTGACACTGGCTGTGGGTGCCTGCCCAGCAGAGCCTCTCCCTTGGAGAGGGCTTTTTTTGAACACAGTCACAACCCTGTTATCTGGGCTGATCCGGCTCATCAGGCGTGGGTGCTGCAGTGAGGCCTGCTCCCCGTCTGCACCCTGGCTGCTGACTCATGCTCCTCCTTCCACCCTTCCTACTCAGCCTGCCCCCTTTCCCCTCCCACCCCGGTGCTGGCCAACAGCTGCAGGGGTGTGGCTGTAGGCTGGTCTGGGAGGGCAGGGTGAGGGGGAGCCCAGAGCACCTGCATATGACAGGAGACTTATTTTTGCACACTGTCGGCTGGAAATAATTAACTTTATTTAAAGAGAATGTGGATTTAGAGTGTTAAAAACACCCAACAGCTTGCTGATCTGTGCTGGGGAGAAGCTGCAGGTCCATACGGGATTGCGGGGGGTGGGGAGGGGCACGTGCCTGCTGAGCTGCCCACCCTGTGATGCTGCCTGGCCAGCGCCCTCCACAAACACCAGCTCCACATCGCTCGCCTCTGCCACACGGCTGTCTTCTCCCCAAGGTTCTTCACGTTGTTCCTCTGTGCATGTCTTTGTGTCCAGAGCCCCCTCCCTTTAAGGACACAGTCGCATTGGGTCAGGGCCTACCCTAATGACCTCATTCTAACTGGATTACATCCGTTTAGACCGTGTTTCCACATGAGGTGCTGAGGGTTAGGACTTTAACACATTCATTTTGGGGGACATAGCCCATAGCAGCCACCAGTTTACCAACCCAGAGAACCTGGGCTGTGATAGAGGCCCAGCCTCAGATTTAAGGTGTGGAAGGCACACCCACAGGAGGTAAACGTGTTCTTGGCTTACAACGTTCACCTGAAAAGTGCGTCCTCATTAACCACCACTTGCAGCCCCTCCTAACCAGAGGTGAGGGGCTGATGGGGTACAGCTCTTGACCCTCTTGTATGTTTTCCTCTGCAGACATGTAGGCATGCACGGTGAGTGTGGCAGCCCACCCATCAGCCTCTCCCTCCAGGCGCATCAGCTCGGTGCCACACGCGCAGAAGGGGGCTGCATGCACCTGTTGTTGGGATGGGCATGCTCAAAGGTGTTGTCTCCTCCTTGACTAGGTTTCTGTCTTTAAATTTAGATCAAAAACTTAACTATGATGGACTCTCAACTTATTTTTATGTGGTGTTTTTACTATTATTAACACTTAAATTTTGTGACAAGTGTTTTATTGTGTTTTATTTTTGACATGAGCTTCTTGGCCATGCCTGTTTGCATCTGTGCTGGGTTGGTAATGCACGTACAACAAGATTCAGCTGACGGGGCTTCTTTCCTAGGCTGTCTCATAAGCACACTGCTCACATCTGAAGAAAGCCTGCAGTTCAGTGCAGTGCCTTGGCTTTGATTTATTTACCAGGGGAAGATGGAGGCCGGGGTTGGATTAGAACTGAAGTTGAGTAGCTATAGACTGAAGTTGTTTTTTGGTCCCCCCCCCCTTTTTTTTTAAAAAGATATGCCCTGCCAAGCAGTTTATGAGAAACCAGGCACATACAAGCCCGAGGATGTTATTAATGAGGCTCTTTGGCTTGTGGACTGGTCTGGATTCCAAGCTCTTTGAAGACAGGAGGGCCAGGCTGTGCCATGAACTGCAGTGACGGATATTTTCCCTAACCTTGAGGGTGCTACACGGGGCTTCTCCTTGACTTTTCCCTTTGTTCCTGTGACCTCCAGGAGGCCCGAGCTGGGTGGTCAGAAAGGAAATCAGCCAGAGGGAAGGGGAGTTTCAGACGCAGAACCAAAGCAAGGCTAGGTGAACATTCTCAGGACCTGGAGACAGTATGTTCCTGGGTACCCTGTGGGCTTCCTGCCCTGCTTGTGGGCCTGGGCTGTCGTCTTATTTCTTGTTCTTTCTCAGGAGACAGGAGCAGTTCCAGAGAAACCCCGACAGCTACAACGGTGCTGTGCGTGAGAACTACACCTGGTCCCAGGACTACACTGACCTAGAGCTCAAGGTGCCGGTGCCCAGGCACGTGGTGAAGGGCAAGCAGGTAACCGCCAGGTCCTTCCAGCTTCATCTGCTCAGCTTCTTTCCTGAAGCAAAGGCTTCAGGCTGTGGGCTGTGCTGGAGCTGCTTAGCCACCAGCACAAGACTGCTTCTTGTCTTCAGTCACAAGCATGCCAATCTCCACCCTCTGTTAACTTTTTTTTTCTTTTTACTTATAGTATTTTCATATCATTAATAAATGATATGAAGTACTACAGTGCTTTTGCCAGTGCCTACAGAGTAGGCAAGGCAGTTGTTGTTACACCCATTTCACACTGGGGAAGATGGAATCCTGAAAGGCAAAGGAGAGAACCACAGGTTCTGTCGTGATAAGTGGACTTCAGTCCTGTGCTCTGTGGAGCTGTAACATTTATAGCTTGAGTGGATTTCTCCATCTTGGTGAGCTTGAGTGAGTGGAAATTTAATCTTTTAGTGAGAGAGAGATGTTTACTTGGGGACCTTGCTGAGAATAACATTATTATAGCTCGTTGTAAGTAGGCAGGCTTCACACTAAAGAAGAAAACTCTCATGTGAAATGGGACACTGTTACTATAATCCACAATGTAAAAAATTCTTATATATGCTAGAAACTGTTTTCTTACTGCATTTGTCATGAGAAACTACAACCTGCAAAGTAAGTGGTATCTCTCATGTTTTATAGATAAGAAATTGAGGCCGAGAGAAGTTACTCAGTCATCCAAGTTGACATGGAAAAGTCACCATGTGTCTCCTTCACTCTTGCTATGCCAGGAGCAGTGAGCACTGTCTGAATGTTTTAGAAGGAGTGAGTGACTGAATGGGTACCCTGGTACAGCCATGGTTTGATTCAGGTGTGTCTGCTTCTAAAGCTCATAGTGTTTTCCCTGTGTCCCACTCCTCTCTTTGTAAACAGAAATAACTGCAGCCTTCTTTAAAAGGGACAGTCCCAGAGCATGTGAAACGAAAGTTGAGTTTCATGTACGTTTCTGAGAAACGACCACTGAGTCAAGTGGCTCCTGCTGGTCTGGATACATGTCAGATCCAGGCTTTGGGCAGTGAGCAAGCCCTTCCAGACCTTCCCCTTAGCCCACTTCTATCCTGAGGTCCCTCCTGGTCCCTTTGTGGTTACCCAGGTCTCTACCTAAAATAGGCCTGCCCTCTGCAGTAGTCTGGGTGGGACTGGGGAAGCCTCTAGAAGACTGCAACTTCCTACCAGTGTCAGATGAATGCAGTTCATCCTGCATCATGGAACACAGGAGCAGGACCGGAGCCCCTGGGTCTTCACAGCTCCTTGTGGGTGCGTGTCAGGGCGCTGTGGGGATGGTGTCAGCTTCAGCGGCACTGTCTACACGTCTCTCCCTTTCTCTCCTTTTCACTCCAGCCCAGGAGATCTCACTAGGGCTCAGCGACCTCCTGACCTGATGGACTTTAGGATCCAGGTCATACTGGGTAACTAGGAATCATTCCCACAGAATCCTACTTTTGATGACTGTGTCCCCCCTGACACGGTAGGTCAGAGCTGGTATAGGCTGACCTTCCTGTCAGGGTGAGTTGCCCAGCATGCTTTAGAGTTTTAGTGGGTCAGGTGTTGATTTTCATTTTGTTTTTTTTGGTAGGATTACCTTGTATGTAGGCAAATAAATTATGAAAAGTGTTGGTTATACACTTAATTACTTGGCTAAAAATGTTAGAGCTTCCTGGTCTAGCCTGTCTTCTAGCTTCTCCATGAACTTCGGGAACTTTCTCTGGAAGGACTTTTGTTCGGCCCAACCTAAAACTAGTTATTTTTGGGAATTCTCTGGCAATCCAGTGATTAGTACTCCATTGTTTTTTACTGCTGATGATGCAGGTTTGATCCCTGATCGGGGAACTGAGATGCCACAAGCTGCACAGCATGGCCTCCCCACAAAAGGCAACCCCCCCTGCCAAAACCCCAAACTAGTTATTTTCCCTTTCTTTGACTTAAGAGACCTCGGTCACTTGACAGTTCTTGCTGAGCTTCCCACGGCTACCTGGGAAGCCTACTCATTGAAAACAGCATCTCAGATGTGCCCACTAGTTACTGGGGTGTCAGTCTCATGATTCCAAGCTCTGCCGTCAGCAGTGTGTTGTGAGGGGCCTGCCCTTCATTGCATTGTGCTAAGGGACGGATCGTGATGCCCCCGTCATCCTTGCCTCTCAAGATCCACTTGTCTTGACCTCTGGGGTGAGATGGGCTCGCTTTCACCGAGGGTGGCCCTGGGTTTTGCTCATTTCTGCGTTAGACATTTACTGAGCACGTGATGGTCCCCGAGACTGGTATGAGATGACTGCACTGGAGCTGACATGTGGGGCTCAGGTAATGACGGCAGGTGCACCAGCACAGTTCCCGGCTGAGTGGAATGTAAACAGTCTGTTTGTTTAACCTGTGCCGTGCAGCCAGACACTCCTCGGGCCCTTCCCCCAGCAGCGCTTTGAGGCTTTGTGGTTCACAGGAAGAAACACAGAGAGGGTCAGGGTCTCCAGGCTGGCTTTTTCTGGAGCTCGTGCTCCCTGCACTCGGGAGTGTGTGGATGAACCTGAATGTTTGTGATGCTGGGACTAGAAGAGGCGCATTCTTCGTAAGACATTTATTTATCTAGTGTTGGCACGTTATGATACCTGCTGATTTAATTTGCACTAATCTCCTGTGTGGTTGGATTGTTTTTTCTCTTTCAGTATTTTTTTCCCCATGACATTAAAAAAAGAAAAGTATGATTGATACACAGTGTTAGTTTCAGGTGTACAGTATAATGGTTTGATATCTGTGTGTTTTATGGAGTGATCACCACAATCTCTGGTTAACATCCTCACCATATTGCAGAACTTTGTGCGTGTGTGCTGAGAACTTTTAAGATACTCTCCTCAGCAACTTTCAAATTCTGTGTTTTTCTTTTAAAAATTCATGATCTCTCTAGTTTTTAATGATCTGAGAGATTTAGTCATGCCTCACTTAAAATTTGGGAGTAAGTTTATTTTGTATCTCTTGGCTTTTGCCTTCCTAAGGGTTTTTTTCTGAGTTGCCACTTTCTTTCTGGACTGGTTCCTTTTCCAGCCGTTCCTGCGGTACCTGTCACAGCTACCTGTCAGCATTGTTTACTTCTGGTTTTTGTCTGTGGATCCTTTCAGATACCATCATGATGATACCTGTGATGGTAGCAGCTCAGCCGATGCAGTCGCAGTTGTTCTGGGTTTGTAAGTAGCTCTGTGTGAGGGGGGCAGGCATGTTGGGTGTAACGGGCAGATGTGGGAGGCACGGAGTGTTAATGGAGGGCGGTCCTGGGCCTCGCTTCTTCAACTACAGCTTGGTGCTTGAGGCCTCAGAAGATTGCCTCTCCTTTACTCCTTGTTGATTATTTTTTTAAGTGGAAATGGGTTTGCCTCTCAGGTGTAGTGGGGGACAGCTGAATGCATGTGAGTTATGCTTTATGTTCAAGTGTTGTTATTTTACATGCAACCATTTAAAAATTTTTGTTATTTCTATTGTTTTGCTGGAGAATCTAAAGGAAAATTTCCCAAAATGAAGCTTTGGTCTCATTCATTCGTGAGATATAGTTAAGTCTTTGCACAGGAAAAGCAGCCAAGTTCCCCATTCTTTGCTTAGCGTAGCCATGGAGTCGGGAGAGGGAAGTTTGCAGTCAGGACGGAGATCTTTGTGTGATTGCAAAAGTCAGCTGGGGCTGGTTATAAACATGGCCTTTCAATGAATCATAGGATTTTAATGTTGGAAAATTGGACTACAGAGATTTTTAGTCTGACCTCTCACTTGGCACATGAGAAGACTCTCCTGGAGATGTGAACTGCTAAGGCCCCACACTCTCTGGTGAGATGGTGGTGGAGCAGAGAGCAGGACCCAGCTCCCACCCCCTTCTCTGTTTGATCAGTCATCTTCTGAGTGGAAAATATCATGATATTGTTGTGCACAGTCCTGACCAGATGACAGCTGACTAGATGACAGTGAGTGACAAGTGAATTAATTTCCTTTGCAATATTCTCTTTCCTCTTGGAGATGGTGCGTGGTCTTTACTGACTAATGAGGTCCTGCAGGCTGGTGGGCTCATGGCCATGCTGCATGCCATCTCTAGCCTCACCATGGGAACCTCCCGGAAGAGCACCAAGACCCCTGGGCATGTCTTGTACAGTGATGCTGTGCCTCCAGAGTTCGATGCAGCTGTTGGAATTTGTGCTAAAAAGCTCTGCAACACAATGTTCCCTTCTTAGAGGGCGTTTAGAAAAAAATGTAGGAAGACTTTTATTATGAGAAACTTCCATAGCAAAAAAGGCTAATAGGTTGCATTTATCTATTAAAAATTTTTTTTTTTTTGCTTGAATGCATAGGACATTTACCTGTTCAAAACAATAAAAATGTAAAATGAAAAGCTTCTCTCCTGCCTCTGTCTTTTTATCCTATTCAAGCCCCCACCCCAACCTCAAAAGTCACATTACTAGTTTCTGGGATCTTTTGGCAGGTGTTTTCTTTCTTTCTTTCCTTTTTCTTTTCTTTAAAAGATTTTTTGATGGGGACCATTTTAAAATTTTTTATTGTATCTGTTACAGTGTTGCTTCTGTTTTTTGTTTTGGTTTTTTGGCCACAAGACATGTGGGATCTTGGCTCCTTGACCAGGAATTGAACCTGCACCCCCTGCATTGGAAGGGGAAACTTTAACCACTGAACCACCAGGGAAGTCCTGCCAGATGTTTTCTATGTATATCTTGTCAAACATAACTTGTGACTGAACTCAACTGGACTGAACTGACAACATTCAGGAGCACTGTATTTATTACCACACCATCATTTTGAGAAAGTTACTTGCAGCTACAGATGGTACACTCCCATTCCCCACATTGGCTCTACCAGGGCAGCTCTGGTCTCATACGCTTCAGCTCTTCCTGCCAGCCAGCAGGTGGCTGCCCAGGAAAGTCTCAGGGGACCCAGAATTTCCCCTGACGTCCAGCTTCGTCTGTCAGGACCCCGAAGGTGTGTGTGCCTGAGCCCACTGCCCCTTCCACTCAGGGCTCGGGTCTCTGGTTTTACTCCACTTTCACTGCATTCCTTTGGATCAGGAGTTTCTTGTATAGTTTTTTTGTTTTTCTGGAGTTTCTTGCTGTCTTGCTTTTTTTTTTTGGTCAAAAATAGTACACTGTCGTCATAAACTCAGAATTACCCGGATTCTCACTGGTACTCTGTATTGTCTAGAAATCACTCTCTGCAGACCGTTTCACCCATGACTCCCATTTGGACTGATTATTTTCTAGTTCAATATTATATAGCTTGCATTCTAGAACTTCTTTTTACCTCACTTCTAGATTAAATTCACTGTGTTTTAGATCCTTTCTGGGATCTTACCCCCTCCTTTATTTTTATTGAGATTTAATTGGCATATATAATTGTAGGTTCAGATGTGCAGCATAATTATTTGAAATGTGTATGTGTGTGTGTGTGTGTGTGTGTAGCAAAATAATTCCGCCATAAGTTTAGTTAACATTCACCACCTCACATAGTCACAGTTTCTTTCTTGTGATGAGAACTTTTAGTTCTCCTCTCTTAGCAACTTTTAAATATACAGGTATTGTGAATTGTAGTCACCATGCTGTACTTCAGATTCCCAGAACTTACTCATTTTATAAGTAGAAGTTTGTACTGTTTGACCCTCCCTCACCCAGGGTCTTCCTCTGTTTTAGTTTCATCCTCATTTTGTTATGTTATAGCCTCAAGTAACTTTCTCAAAATGATGGTGTGGTAATAAATACAGTGCTCCTGAAAGTTGTCAGTTCAGTTCAATTCAGTTCAGTCACTCAGTCATGTCTGACTCTTTGCGACCCCATGGACTGCAGCATGCCAGGCTTCCCTGTCCATCACCAACTCCCGGAGCTTACTCAAACTCATGTCCATCGAGTTGGTGATGCCATCCAACCATCTCATCCTCTGTCATCCCCTTCTCCCGCCTTCAATCTTTTCCAGTGAGTCAGTTCTTCATATCAGGTGGCCAGAGTATTGGAGTTTTCAGCTGCAGCCTCTGTCCTTCCAATGAATATTCAGGACTGATTTCCTTTAGGATTGACTGGTTGAATCTTGCAGTCCAAGGGACTCTCAAGAGTCTCGTCCAGCACCGCAGTTCAAAAGCATCAATTCTTTGGCGCTCAGCTTTCTTCATGGTCCAACTCTCACATCCATACATACTACTGGAAAAACCATAGCTTTGACTAGACGGACCTTTGTTGGCCAAGTAATGTCTCTGCTTTTTAATATGCTGTCTAGGTTGGTCATAGCCTTTCTTCCAAGGAGCAAACGTCTTTTAACTTCATGCTGCAGTCCCCATCTGCAGTGATTTTGGAGCCCAGAAAATAGTCCCTCACTGTTTGCTTTGTTTCCCCATCTATTTGCCATGAAGTGATGGGACCGGTTGCCATGATCTTAGTTTTCTGAATGTAGAAACATTTCTGAATGTTTTAAGCCAACTTTTTCACTCTCCTCTTTCACTTTAAGAGGCTCTTTAGTTTTTCACTTTCTGCCGTAAGTGTGGTGTCATCTGCATATCTGAGGTTATTGATGTTTCTCCTGGCAATCTTGATTCCAGCTTGTGCTTCATCCAGCCCGGCATTTTGCATGATGTACTCTGCATATAAGTTAATCAGGGTGACAATACAGCTTTGACATATTCCTTTTCCTATTTGGAACCAGTCTGTTGTTCCATGTTGAGTTCTAACTGTTGGTTCTTGACCTGCATACAGAGTTCTTAAGAGGCAGGTCACATGGTCTGGTATTCCCATCTCTTGAAGAATTTCCCACAGTCAAAGGCTTTGGTGTAGTCAATAAAGCAGAAGAAATGCCGTTATTTTAACCTTTCATTTATTTTGTGATTTGAGTTTGTATGGAATTCTAACTTTGAAAAATACTTTCTTTGGAATTCCCTGGTCACCTCGGATTCTGGGCTTTTGCTGCTGTGGCCTGGGTTCAGTCCCTGGTAGGGGAACTGAGATCCGGCACAAACAAACAAGCAGACGCCCCAGCGTGATTGTGGGTGTCATTCTCTTGTTTGCTTACATCCACTGTTACTGATTCTAGTAATCTCTTCCATTCCGGTTCTTTGTGTGTAAACTTTTACCCTGTTATTTAGAACTTTTTGGAACTTATTCTAGATACTCAGTGATATGAATTGTCACCTCTCATTCCTTCTGTTCAGCCCTCAGTGGTTTCTTTCAAACTGAAGGCATGTTTTTCTTAAGCATTGGAAAGTAGTCGTCTTCCTGTCATAGTTTCTGGGATGCCAAACTGATTGCCTGGATTGGTTTGTTACTCTACCTTGATTTTTTTGATATTATCTTCCAGCCTTTCTATTGAAAATTTTATTTTCACTCTATTTTTTTCTAAGTGTCTTTTGTTTGTTTTGTCTAGTTCTGTTTTCATGTTTTATTCTGGTTCTGCAGATGCAGTATCTTCTCAGGTCTCTCAGAATATAAATTGGACATATTTTAAAACTGCCTTTTTTCTTAGGTAGCTCTGTAATCTTTACCTTTTTTTTCTGTTGTTAACCTAAGTCTGTCTTTTGGGGCTGCTGCTTTTTCTCATAGGATACAGTCCTTAGTTCCCTATTAGTTTTTTTATTTAAAAAATATATCTTCCTCATTCTTTTGAGTGTGGAATGATGTTGATGGTTTTCTCCTTTACATGTCTGTGGTCTGCTCCTCCCATCGCTGGTCACAGCTGAGGGGTTGACTGGTGGTTGGGGTTGACTGGTGGTTGGCTTTGCCTTATGGTATGGTGGACCAGTGTCCACACAGTCCCCTCAGCTGCTGGCCAGGTTTTCTGGAGCAGGGCTGCCTGTTGCTCGGTGGCACACGGCGGATTCCAGCCTCTCCTGCTGGGGCTTTGCTGGCCCAGCTGCCCTGTGGACTGACTCAGCTGTTCTGCCTCCACGCTCTGTTCTTGCCAGCTGCCAGCCAGAGGCCCCATGCAGCTGTGCTTGCCCCTGTTCTGTGGCGTCTGTCCCCACACACTTTTCCTTCCTCTCCACAGAGCTGTCAAAAGCTTGTCTGTCCTGGCCTCTCCCTTCTTCCCTTGTGTTGTCTGGGGTTCTTCTGTTTGTGTTTTGTTGCTGTCATCTCTGTGGGTCAGAAGATGACCGCCTGTTCTCAGAGTGACACCTTGGACTGGAGCTCTTGGAAGCATCTCCTGCCTAGTTTCCCCTTGCTGCCTGGGTGCATCCCCTTTGTACAAGAGACAGGTGTTGTGGAAACTCACCCAGATTTAGAAATTATCCTGTTAGGTAAAGCTGGCTGGAGAATTTAATTTGTTAAAGTGAGCTTGTTCCTGGGAGGCCAACTGATGGAGCCTTGGTCCACCTGTCAAGTGTTCTCTGCACTTCTGAGTTCATGGTCAGGGACATGATTTGGCCAGCGATTGTCTGGATCCATCTAGGAGTGAGCTGGTCTACTGTTGGGCAGCTGGGAGTGAAGTGAGTTGTGCCTGTGCCTTAGCAGAATCAGTCGAGAAAGTGGTAATTCTCCCAAAGTTGAGTGTAAGTAGAACTTGGGCTCACAGGACCCCACTGGGGCAGAGATCATTTTCCTTTCCATCACTCATTTATGGTTATTTAAAATTTAGGTAGGTTATAGTATCAGATTCCATCAACGTGTGTGTAAACTCCAGTTCGAAAATTGTATGACACTGAGGGAATCTTTTCAAGTGCTTTATAAGCATTTAATAAGCACTTACCAAGTGACATGGGAGGGCCACCTCCAGACTGTTTTGACACCTTGACTGACCCCACACTCCAGTGAGAAAGGTCTAAGTTAGCCAGCCTCTGTTCATGTAATGAACACATTGTGTAAATACTATTATAAAAAGATTTTTGCATTGTAAAACACAGAATTTAGAATTTTAAAGAGAAGGTGGTGGTGATTGGGGGTGGGGGGGAAATCCCTGTAGTTCTGTTTTCTTTCCTGGACTGTTTACTGATCTGAATGTACTTGGGATGCTGCTTGTTGGGATCCACGCATGAAGCAAAGCCCCTAGTCCAGCAGCTCCAGCGCAGATGTGAAGACAGACATGTGAGAGCAGAGACCCAGTGAATGAGGATATGGGAGAATAGACACAAAATGTAAAACCAGAGGACCTGGCCTCACCCTCCTGGGTGAGAGCCGAGCTGTGGCCACAGCCAGTGCAGCAGCTCCTAGAGGGAAGAGGAGCTGGCTGCTCTGGCCCCCGGGCATGTTCTCTGGGGTGGGACTGCTGCAAACTCCAGACAGCAAGGTGGGCGTGGGGAGAGTAGCCCCTCTGCTACACTGGCCCTGCTTGCCTTCCGTCCAGGGAGTTGGTCTCCCCTTCTAACTGGAGAAGAGATTCTGTTCCCACAAAGCACCCCCTGTTTCTGTTAGGCATATCAAAACTGTAAGTGCATTCTCTTGAAGGAGATGACGACACAGTCTCCTTCATGTGTGAGTTGGTTGGTATTATTTTCTTGGTTCAGTGGACCTGGTGACGCTTGGCATGGTCTTGCCTCCTGTTCTCTTGCTGTGTGCAGCCAGGCGCCTTGGAAACCACTGTCCCCTCCTGTCTTGGAACACAGGGTGATTCTCTTTTGCTCTGTTCCAGGTCTCGGTGACCCTCAGCAGCACCTCCATCCGGGTGGCTGTGCTGGAGGAAAATGGGGAGCGTGTCCTCATGGAAGGGAAGTTCACCCACAAGATCAACACCGAGAGCTCCCTCTGGAGCCTCGAACCTGGGAAGTGTGTCTTGGTGAGTGTGGGCTGTTGAGGCAGTGGGTGTGTTGATTCCTGCCAGCGGGGGAGTTGCCTCATTGTTTGCCACATAGCTCAGAAGGCACCTTTGTGGGCCTCTGCTGACTCACTGCCGCATCTGCAGCCTTGGCCCCTGGGGGTCCCAGTGCTTGGCTCCTTGAGGTGGAGCCCCTGTCAGTGAGAAACTCAGGGGCCCTTGAGTGCAGTCTGTCCTCCTGCCCACTCACAGACCACACACAGTGACCACAGAGGAGGTCCTGGCGGGGCACGATCCCCAGAGTGCGGCTGTGCTCACACTGGGTGTGTCTCTTTAGTCCTCTCTCCAGGGATTCAGTTATATCTAAAAGACAAAACCAAATAAATTAAAAACTAAAAGGCAGATCATTTTCACGAATGCCAGTTTGGAGGATGCAGAGTTAATAAACTCAGACAGCCTTATTTGATAAAGGGGGTCTCAACTGGCTAAGCTAACTGATGGTATGTGATCCAAACTAAGGGAAATGTGTTCCAATTACTACATTCTTCCTTCGTAAGAGCCTTGCACCTGTTCAGTGGGCAGCATGCAGTGAAGCTTCCTGCAGCAAAGGGAGACTGTATATTTGGGTTCATTCTTTTCCCTCCTCCTGGGGTGCTTAACCTGGGGTGTGGTGAAAGGGGTAAAGATGAAAAGAAAAATATTAAGTCTTTGGACAAAGAAAAGCTTCAGAATTTTATATAGAAATGTTCTTTAGGTACAGTTTCATCAAGATCTACTTGTCTCTGGAAAATAGATGCCCATGGGCCTGCCTGTTTGGTCCTAACCAGCAAGGCCCCTGGGTTTCTGTTTGGTTTCTCTCAGCTCGCAGACACCCATGCCAGATGGAACAGAGAGGATTCCACCAGTGCTGGGTTGGCTGGAGGTCTCAGCGTGCTCAGGACCCATGAACACACAGAGGCCCCTCTGTGTGACAGGGGCACCGGTGGCAGAGTGCTGGCCAGGTCTGCCAGAGTCTTGTTTAGACCTTGCTCTGTTGCACATCCCCTGTCCTCCCGAGGTTTCTCCTGCTCACCATGAGCGTGTGACAGTTGTGATGATTTCACCCCTCATTGCCCGGGGGTTCAGTCCCTCATCCCTTCACCACTGTGCCTCCCCACTTGCAGCACCATTCCCCAAACTATGGCCCATGTTCTTATCACCAGATCCTCCATTTGCAGAATGCCTTCGTGGTCATGGTCTCATCTGGACTTCGCCTGGTTGCAGGAGGTAGAAAGCCAGGGTTTCATTATCCCCCTGCCCGCCGAGGTCATGCCAGTGGCCAGTGGGAGCCAGCGGCTGGCAGGCTACCCTCTGCAGGTGCTGCTGTGATGGCGCAAGTGGTCCCAGAAATGTGGACTCGTGATCTTGGGTGCCCTGTTGTCCACGGGCACCAGGCCTCACATCACCGATGTGGGGTTGATGGACTGCCCAGAGCAGCCCCAGCAGGCAGCTGCTGTGCTGGTCTCCCTCTGAGGGGCACTTCTGCTATCTTCAGCCCTGCCAGCCTGAGTCCGTGCCTGGGATGGAAAGACTGACCTCGTTGCTGGACCCTGAAGGTTACAGCCTCTGTTTCAGCCCACTTCGTCTGTCAGGGTTGTAATCAGGATACCGAGGATTCTCTTTACTTGACGTTACTTCTGTGAAAATGAGGTTGTTACCAGGTAGCTCACTCTTTAGGGTGTTTGTCACAAGAGGTGACACTTGACTTTTTCACACCTGTTCCAGAGCCATGTCATCTTGTGTGTTTTGTACAACTTACATCTGAACACACATGTGGCTTGCGGCCAGGTGTTAACTCCTTGTGATTCAGGCCTCCATCTGTCATGTACGGGTACTCTGGCCTGGCTGCCTGAGGTGCCTGGCAATGCTGTTTCATCTCTGCAAGCCTGTTGACACACCAGGATGCTGACACTCAGGGTGAAGGGCTTGCTCAGGGTGGAGCCAGACTCCAGACCCGGAGGCTCCTGCTCCCTCCTTCCCTGACTTTCAACCGAAAGGTGCCCTGAGGGAGCAGGCGGGAGGAGAGCTGGTCGCAGTGTGGTGGTGTCTGAGAGAGGCTGCACTGGGCCAGCAGGGAGGCCGGGGTGTCGCCGTCTCTGCCAACCTTGCTGAGGCGGTCTGGGTGGCCGGTCATGTGCCCAGGCCCCGCGGTCACCCCAGGTCCTCCTCTGGTCCAGGAGGAAGCTTGTGCCCTGGCCACCTTATAGTTTTCCAGTTTGCTTTGCCAAGCACCTGCTGCTCAAGGAGTTATAAAGGAGCAGCACTGGCCGTGGACTGAGGGACACCTGTCCCTGCCGTAAGTGTGGCTCAGTTCTGCTCCTGCTCACCACACGGGGTCCACATAGAAGCCTCTGGGGATTGCAGGTGCTGTGCTGGTTCTTTCCCTGGGTACCTTTGAGTGGCTTTCGTCATCTATGGATGGTGTCACATTTCTAATGCTGCTTCACCACTTGTAGAAGGGAAAGGGGACTTGTTTAGAGCATCATCTCCTCCTCTGGAACTTTCTCGACAGCACAGGCCCCTGCTCACCTGGCGTGCACTTTCTCCTGAGATGTGGGACTCTGCCCGTCTCTGCCTTCCTGCTGACTGTTGGTAAAGCCAATGCCTGTGTGTTGTGGAGACGCTGTTACTCGTGGAGCTGGAGGTTTGGTGTGTTTTCAGTGTAGTTATTTTATTGATGACTCTGAGCGCCATGTGTCTGAGATGATACTGTAGTGCAGTGAGCACGCTTCTTGGATGTGTCAAGATCGCAGTGCGTCTGCTGCAAAGAACCAGTGCCACTCCCTCGAGCCTCTGGAGGAAGCAGCACAGCTGCCGCGGTCACCAGGCCTGCTCTCTGCCTCAGTCCCACTAGCCACCTGAGCCCCATGGTACCTCTGTTCCTTGGTCTTAGAGTGAGACTCAGAGCCTTGTGTGCTTATGACTAAGTGCCAGACCCTGTGCTAGGCACTGGGGCGATTGAGGGAAATCATCAAGGGCCCACCTCCCCAAGTCTGAGTGGACTGGAAAGGGCCCCCAGATGTCCTCACCAATCCCCAGAACCTGGAGTAGGGCCTGTTCGGAGGAATGGTCTTTGCAGATGACAAGATGATCCTGAATTATCCAGGTGGGTCCTAAATCCAGTGACAAGTGTCCTTAGAAGAAGAAAAGACACAGATACACAGTGCCATGATAGCCAGGCAAGGTCCCCCAGAAGCTCCAGAGGGAGTGCAGGCCTGCAGCGCCTCGATGTAGGCCTTCCAGCCTCCAGGCAGAGAGGATAGATGTCTTGTTGCAAGCCCACCATTTGTGGGCTTTGTTATGGCTGCCCTGGGACACTCGCACAGGCTGTGTCACAAGGCACGGTTTCTGTGGGCGCCACTTGGGACAAAGGGGGTCTGCCCAGGGATGCCTATCACCTCGCCAGAGCCCATGGCCTGAGTCCTCACCTCCCAGGCAGGCTGATGCAGACATGCCCCTTGATTCCCAGCCACTGTTCCCTCCTCGCCTGAGCCGGGATCTGCATCAGACACGCCCGAGCAGCCTTTCAGAGCAGGCAGGGGTGGCAGCTAAAACCGGATGACAGTTCTTGCCTCCCTCCCTCCCACACTTGAGAATGTTAAACGAGGCTGCTTGATTCTCAAGCAAGCTCCTTTCTTGGTTACGGAGACGTGAAACCAGGGCCTCCCCCTGTGCCTCATTCTGTCCCAGAACCCGTGTCGGCTCACTGCCCTGGTTTCTCCCCGCAGGCGGGGCTAATGGCCGGGCTCTGGGCGCCTGCAGGCCATGGCCTCGTGCCTGTGATGCTCCATGTCTCTTGATTCGTGCCATTTGTGAGGCAGAGCTCGTTAACATGCTGACACGACCCACACTCGAGTCATTTAAAGTCAGTTCAGGAGCTGCAGTGTTTGCAGACCTTTGTCCATTTGTCTTAAAGCTCACACTGCTGTGTGTGTGGTGCCTGAGCCTGGGAGTGTTTTAATGCATGCTGCACCCCCATATTTAGGTGATTTCTTTAAATTACAGTTCTCAGAAGTGGAGTTACAGGCTGACTGTTGTCCTTGGCCATTGCCATGGCTCTCCCCGGAAGGATGTCAGATTTCTGTGACATCACCAGGCCCCTTTGCGCCCCAGCGCTGGGCTTGTTAATTTTAACTTGTCTTTGTTGACTTATCTGCATTTCTCCCATTTGTTCCTTTCCATTTTTCTAGGGAGGATATGTGTTTCTCTGTGAAGTGGTTCACCATCTTTGTTTTGTCGTGGGTGGCCACCTGCCCCTTTCCTGGCCCTGAGGGACCATTGTTCAGCTTAAAACACAGGTTAAGTTATGTTAGTATTTTGGCAAAAGCCCAAGCCTGGAAATTAGTCCAGGGAGTGAAATGCAAGTTCTTGGCTTTCAGTACCCATGTCTCCCAGGACCCATCATGTTTCTCAGGCTGGTCACATTTTTGGCATCATTGCCAATCCCCAGGTCCTAGCCAGGAAGAGCTGAGGCCTGGTGTTGAGAAGTAGGTGGCCTAAGGCATCATGTTCCGGCAGCCTTCTGGAGAAGTTGCCCAGTGAACAGGAGGGATGTGCCAAGCCGAACCAGAGGACCACGCTCCCTGTGGACAGAGCAGGCACCCCCTCCATCCCACATGGGAGGAGAGAGTGGAGGAAGCTCGGCAGCCTGTGGTCACTGCCTCCCAGCCACGCCCCCATCACAGCCAGCTTTGTCCGGCCCTCAGTGCTTTAATGGTAAAGCTTAAGAAGTTTGTTAATATCAAAGACTGGGAGATTCCCCACAATGGTACTGCCTCTGGCAAAGCCCTGAGAGGTCAGTGGTCTGGCTGGGGATCACATCCTTGCCGCAGAAGTGCCTGGAGCTGAGCAGGCCCCCTGCTGTCTTTGCCTGTCCCCTGTCCTGGTTTCAGAGCAACCCCTTGAAACATCACCTGCAACTTTCACGCACATCTCCTTGGCCCAGACTTGATCCCACGTACGGGCAGCTGCGAGGAGCCGTC